GGTCTAGAACTCCCAGTCTCCTGGTGTCACCCAGCTGGCTTTCATGCTTAAGGCAGAACCAGAACTCCCCGTCTCCTGGTGATTGGCCCAAGTCACCAAGTTGGCTTTCATGCCTAAGGTGGGACTAGAAATCCCAGTCTCCTGTGTTTGGCCCAAAGTCACCCCAGCTGGCTTTCATGCCTAACGCAGAACTAGAACTCCCAGTCTCCTGGTGTCACCCAGTTGGCTTTCATGCCTCACGCAGAACTAGAACTCACAGCTGCCAGCTTCTAACCTAGTGCTATGCTTGAGCCCTCTAAATCTCTGGCCATTTACTTTTCACCTCTGGCCAAGAGGTTGTTGTTCTGTCTTACTTGGGGTTGGTGAAACTGCTCTTTCTATTTTCTTCCTCTGAGAGACCCACGAAGCTTTTGTCCACTTTCCTCAGGTTGTCCATTCGAAAATGTCCTGTTATCGCCATACCAGCCTGAACCCAGAGTTGACGGTAATCTCAGTTCCCCGCGAAGTCCATTTCTTTCCGTTTTCTTTTCCTTCCAACAGCCAAACAGCAAGGAGACAGCACAGAACGACGAGTTTATTTTAAACAACTGAACATTGATGACAACGTGCCCTGCGTAAAATACAGAATAAAGTCACTAATAAAAATGGGTATCGGATCTTCAAGACTTCCCAGTTAGGATTTCTTACCTTAGAGCAGGGGTGTCCAAATTCTAGGAGTTGAAGTCCACAAGGGGTTAAAGTTGCCAGGTTTAGACACCCCGCCCTCAAGGCAGTTGGAATTGTAAAAATGGGTGAGTTATACCTCAATGTGGAAGAGAAGGAATTTATAAATTCATAGCTTGCTCACTTCTTGGTCGGCCCCCAGGGTACTGATACAGTGGAGATTCATATTGGATGCCCCCCGGGCAAGAGATTGGCGTTTGACATCACTCATACGAAGAATTACACCACAGAGAAGAACAAGCGCTACTTTGACTGTGTTGAGCCAGATCCAGAAATGCCCTGTTTTTATTTCAGCGATGGTAAGTGGTTTTGCATCTCCCCCCCCCCTTCACAAACCCCACTCCCTTCTAGCACTGATAATGTTACCTAGTTGGGTAATGAAACGTCTGCAGGAAAGCTACCAAGCTCAGAGAGCACCAAGGACCCCACAGTCTTCCTCTTTCTCCTCTTCTTCTTCCCCCTTTTCTGTCTCCTTTTTCTTCTAACCTTCTCCCTCCTCCTCCTCCTGCTCCTCCACCTCTTTCCTCTCCTTTCCTTTCTCTCCCCTCCTCCTCTTCTCCTCTTTTTCTCTTTCTTGCTTGTCATCTTCATCATTGCCAGTAATAGAGACAACCGTGTTTCCATACCCATTCCTGGAATCTACCATCATTCAGGAAATCCAGGTTAGAGACCAACATAGTTAGGACAAGGCCTTCCTGCATTTGTCTACGCGTGCATGTCTGAGCAGTTGCCCCGTGCCTACTCCTGAGTAACTCAGAAAGCACGAAATGCAAAAAAATAAAATAAAAAAGCGCGAATCCAGTTCCTCCAGAGAGAGCCAGCTTCAAAAGGATCGGTATTGGATTCGAGCCAATCCCACGCTGGAAACCTTTCAAGAGTCAGGCTGGGAACAGTGTTCTGCCGTGTTCCCGTCTACTCCAGTTTGTGAGCTTGGAGCTTGTTTCCCTTGCAGTATTCTACCCATTCTTCTTGATCCAAGACATGGTGACGGGAGACTCGGGAAGATTCCAGGGCAGGTAAGAGTGATGGGGAAGGGTCTCAGGCCTTGCAGAGTTGGGGGTGGGGGGAGAGAACGAAGAAGACTGGTTCAGTGAAACTCCCACATCAGCACCAGAAGTCTGGCTCTCTCTGTCTGTCTGTCTCTCTCTCCCCCGTGTATGTGTGTGTGTGTATAAGAAGAATGTTGTTGCGGTCTAATCTTCCACCTCTCTAAGAAGTACACGCCACCCGATTCCAAATGAATCAACTCTGGGGGGAAATTACATCTCTGCCTGCTTTGAAAATGGTAGAGGGTCCCCTGCTTGAGCAGGGGGCTGGACTAGAAGACCTCCAAGGTCCCTTCCAACTCTATTCTGGTTGATTGACGGATGGATGGGTGTGTGTGTGTGTGTGAGTGATGGCAGCTTTGATGATCAGCCTGATGGTGAACCTTTGGCCAGAGCTGGGAACTCTGAGGAACTCTGGGAGTTGAAGTCCACAAGCCTTAAAGTTGTGCCAAGTTTGGGGACCCCCTGCTTTAGAGAATCTGCTTTGGCAATTGGTGTCTTCTCAGTTCCTGCTATCTAAAAAGTGGGGCTGGGATGGAGAGAAGACCCCCAAACAGAGGTGTGGTTTCATCTCAGTTGTGCAAATCATATTTAACCAAAGGATGTGGAGTGGGGAATTGGTGTAAGTTGGCTTCGTAACAATTATACGATCGTTACATCACATAACAGTTAATCAATTAGTGAGAAGAATTAGCCTTGAGACGTTGTGGTGCCTCATCCCAGGAGGTTTTTAGGAAGAGACTGGAATAAAACAGGGTTGTCCTTGCGCAGTGGGTGGACTAATGTAGGGGCCGCCAACCTTTTTGGAGCTCAGGGACCACCAAGCTCATAATTTTAAATCCCACAGACCAGAGACCCTGGGAAAATCCCCTCCAAAAAGTCTGCAGGAAAATTCCCCACCCTGTTTTCCTCCGGATCAATCATTCTTTATTTGGGATCACAGGATAAAATCTCCAGCTCCGTTCTCGTGGGGGGGGGGGGGACGACTTTTGGCTTCATGCAAGGAAAGCAGCAGAAGCAGCAAAAGTCTTTCTCTCCCCCAAACTCCACCAGAAGTGAGTCTTTGTGAGACTTGTTGCACCAGCACAGCCTCTTGGAGCAAGGAGGCCTTGCAGGGTCCCAAAGACTCATTTCTGGCGGAGTTTGGGGGTGAGAAAGACCTTTGCTGCTTTCCTTGCGTGCAGCCAAACACAGAAGCAGAAAGAAGCAGACCGGTGGCCTTATATAAGTTATAACATAGTTGTGAATATATGAAATGGGTACATATAAGAAAAATAAAAGAATAAGAGAAACAATAGGACAGGGACGGTAGGCACGATGGTGCGCTTATGCACGCCCCCTACAGACCTCTTAGGAAAGGGGTGAGGTCAATAGTAGACAGTCTAAGGTTAAAGTTTTTGGGGTTTGGGGAAGAGACTATAGAGTCGGGTAGAGTATTCCAGACATTGACCACTCTATTGCTGAAGTCGTATTTCCTGCAATCAAGTTTGGTGCGGTTTACTTTGAGTTTGTATCTATTGTGTGCTCTTGTGTTGTTATGGTTGAAGCTGAAGTATTCATTGACAGGTAGAACATTGCAATGTATGATTTTGTATACCATGCTTAGGTCAGACCGAAGACGGCGTAATTCAAGGTTTTCTAGTTTTAGAATTTCAAGTCTGGTGGCATAAGGTATTCTATAACGAGTAGAGGAGTGGAGAACTCTTCTTGTGAAATATTTCTGGACTTTCTCAATTGTGCTAATATCAGATACGTAGTGTGGGTTCCAGACTGATGAACTGTATTCGAGTATTGGTCTAGCAAATGTTTTGTATGCTCTGGTTAGTAGTGTGATATTACCAGAGAAAAAGCTACGTAGGATTAGGTTAACAACTCTTAATGCCTTTTTGGCTATGTAGTTGCAGTGGGCTCTAGCACTTAGATCATTAGAGGTGAGTATTCCAAGGTCCTTTACAGAGCTTGGGTCATCAACAAGATCTTGACTATTCAGCTTGTATTTTGTTTTCTGATTTTTTTTGCCAATATGTAAGACAGAGCATTTATTTGTTGAGATTTGAAGTTGCCATTTGTTTGACCATTCTGATACATAGTCAAGATCTTTTTGTAGGGTAGCAGTATTGTCTGTGGTATTGAACAGCTTTACATCATCAGCGAAGAGAACGCAATTGCTCTTAATATGATCACAGAGGTCGTTTATGTAGAGTATGAAGAGAGTTGGTCCTAGAACACTGCCTTGGGGAACACCACTATTGACAGGTACTGGATTTGATAGTACGCTCCCGATTTTGACCATTTGTTGTCTGTTTGACAGGAATGCTTCTATCCAGTTATTCAGTTGTCCAGAGATACCATAGGATTTTATTTTTAGGAGTAGTTTGTCGTGTACCACTGAATCAAAGGCTTTACAGAAGTCTATGTAGATTGCGTCAATTGCTTTGCCCTGGTCGAGTTGTGTCGTCCATATGTTTTTGCAGTGTAAGAGTTGCAGATTACAGGATAGTTTTTTTCTGAAACCAAATTGTTTATTGGAGAGTAGGTTGTTTGTCTCTAAGTGGAGGATGATGGATTGGTTAATAATTGATTCCATGACTTTACAGGTGACGCAGCATAAGGAGATTGGCCTGTAATTTTCAACTAGGCTTGGGTCTCCCTTTTTGAAGATGGGGATGACTGTGGCTTGTGACCATAGGTTAGGCAAGGAGCTGGTCCTGAAAGATTTTTCAAAGATTATGCTTAGAGGTTTGGCTATGGCAGTGGATAGCTTTCTTAAGAAGTAGGCACATATTCCATCCGGTCCAATAGATAGAGATGGTTTTAGATTGCGTAGTGATTTTTCGACATTGTCTTCTGTGAAATCGATATGTATTAGATCATTGTTGTTATCTGTGGTACGGCTAGGAAATACTGGGCATGATCCATTGCTGTTTACAAATACTGAGCCGAAGAATGTGTTAAAGATGTTGGCTTTAATGGTGTCGTCGTTGCAGTCTTTACCATCAGGTCCTATCAAGGGAGGGATGGACCTTGAGTCTTTTAGTTTGTTGTTTACAAAATTGTAAAAAGCTCGGGTGGAATTGGTGCTTAGAAGGTTTTCCTCTTGTTTAATGTGATAATTGGTGCATTCAGTCTTTATCTGGTGGCATAAATTTTTGTATCGGTTTTTGAAATTGGCAACGTGACCAGATTTGTTTTTCCGCCAGAGTGATCTCTTTTTGGATTGAAGTTTCCTTATTGATATGGGTAATCTGCTTTTTTGTTTTGTTTTGGGAGTTGTTGTTGGAACATATAGTTTGATGACTCTTTTGACTTCAAGTAAAAATATGTTATAATGGTCTTCAACGGTATTGCATCCAGTGAATAGAGATTGCCAATCAAGGGATGAGAGATCGTTGTCTATAAGATCATAGTTGCCTTTTTTGAAGTTACAATAGGGGATTACATCATTGTGGTGATTTTTGTGTGGATGTATGTTGAGACAAAAGTCGATCATATTGTGGTCACTACTGGAAAAGGGTTCTTTAGTTTGTATTCCGTAAATTAGGTTCAAACTGTTGCAGAAGATGAGATCGAGGCAGTTGTTTAGTCTAGTGTTGTTGATTACTAGTTGTTCCAGTCCCAGATTTGTAATAGCATTGTAGAAGGTTGTGTGTATGATTTCAGTTGTACAATCATTTAGGGTCCAGTTAATATGAGGTAGATTGAAATCACCAAGAAGGATAAAAGGGTATGGGCAGGATGCAGCCCATGTTAGTAATGTATTTAGCTTGTTTACATGTTCGATGTCATAATCAGGTGCTCTGTAACATAACACTACCTCATGTTGTTCGCAATGCAAGCAACGCAAGCCTTGTGTTCCTGCGCAGCCTGGATTAATTGCTTTGGGGGGTGCTTTCGGGGTGACATTTTTCTGCGCACCACCCAAATTATCTCGTGGACCACCAGTGGTCCCCAGCCCACTGATTGGCAACCACTGGACTAGAAGACTTCCAGGGTCCCTTCCAGCTCTATCCTGATCTGAGCCTGAATCTTCCGTCTTCCTTGTTCTCTTGACAGCTACATCTTTAGCGTCATTGGCGGAGGGGCCTTTTCGCAGAGCAACATCAGATACTTCACTCCGGAAGAGATCATAAAATACAACACTAACAGGTGACTTTTCATCCAGGCGGCTGCGTAGACCCAGTCTGGACTCAGAAGCAAACTGGTAACCAAAGCTGCTCACACAAAACGGTATTATATATGCAGCCCTTGTGCCCTCCCCCCGCCCCCAAACTGTGTGCACCGGTGCGTTCTGCCCCAGCTGCAGCTTCCCAATAGTCTCCTAGGGTAGCCCCCTGTAGAGCATGTGGCAGTTCAGGAGTGGAGGATCTCCTACCAAAAAGGGGGGGAAGGAAGGAGCTGTGGATTTCCGTGCAGACCTTGGCAAAGCCCAACTGTCTTGATCTGTATTTGTCTTCTCCAGTAATATGACAGCTTTGATTTGGGCGAGATCCGACGTAGAAGTTGACGTAACCAATGAGGAAGGTTTCCCGGTCCTCTCTGAAAGCAACCCTGGAATTGTGTAAGTTCTCCTGTGAAAGATACCGTTTGGGTTTGCAGATGAGTTTCTGAACAGACTCCTTCAAATTCTCACCTCCAGTGAAAGAGGCTTGGATACAGTTTGGGGTAGTCAACAACCAAGAAGGAAACAATAGCAATAGCCCTTAGACTTATATGCCGCTTCACAGTGCTTTCCAGCCCTCTCTAAGCGGTTTACAGAGTCAGCCTCTTGTCCCCAGCAGTCTGGGTCCTCGTTTTACCAACCTTGGAAAGGAGGGAAGGCTGAGTCAACCTTGAACCGGTCAAGATCGAACTTCTGGCAGTGGGCAAAGTTAGTCTGCAATGCTGCACTCTAACTACTGTGCAGTATGGGAGGGAGGGAGGGAGGAAAGAAGGGGAGGAAGGAAGGAAGGGGAAAAGGAAGAGCAATAGCACTTATATACCGTTTCACAGTGATTTACAGCCCTCTCTAAGCAATTCAGCCTCTTGCTCCCAACGATCTGGGTCCTCGTTTTACCAATCTCATAAGAATGGAAGGCTGAGTCAAGCATGAATAACAATACTGCAATCAAGAAGCTACCAACTCAGACAAACAATCAAACTCTAAACAACAGCCTAATCAGGGAATCACCAAGATCACTCCTACAGTGCAATCCACTGTTTATAAACAGAGCAAATCCCATTCCCTTCTAGCCCTGATAATGTTCCCTAGTCGGGTAATGAAATGTCTGCAAGAAACCAACCAAGCTCAGACCCCACAGCTAGTTTCCTAATTAGGGAGCTCCCTAATTCAATAGTGGCCTAACCATGGAATTATCAAAGAGAAAAACCACACCCCCACCAATGTTGGCAAAGAAAGCCATTTATATGTAAAGAGAGAGCAAACCCCACTCCCTTCTACCACTGATGTTACCTAACCTAAGATTTTACGATTGGGTTAGTAGAATAAAAGGAAGGGGCTTAGCTCAGAGTGCCATGCTTTGTAGGAAGAAATATCCTGGGTTCAGTTTCAGGCGGGGAAGAAAGACACTGGAAACATGGTGAGTGCTTGGAAAGATGGTTTAACGGTGGACAGGATCATATGCCTTGGGTGAAGAAAGAAGGAAAAGAGCTGAGATGCTGAGAATCCCTGGGTTTTATACCCTCTGTTGGGATTTGAATTTGAGCTTGTATTCTGACTGGTTGTCAGACTCCCATGGGGCCATGCAGGGGCAACTCTGTAGGCTGTCCCTGAGTCCCAGGCTTGGTTGAGCCTTGCTGGACGATGATGTAATGAAAGGGCTTTGGGCAATTCCTATTATAGTTCTACCTGGAGTAGATCTTTGTTATGTAAAATAGATTGGTTTAGGCCAGAGTAATAGTCCATTAGCAAAGGTGGGGGTGAGCTTCTGCTTCTGAGGTCAGCTTCTGCTTCTGAGTTTCTACTCTTTTTAGGGGAAATATTCTGCCTTTTTAATATTTCCTGGGATATTTCATTTTTCTAGGAGAGGGGTGGGTGCTAATTTCCTATAGTAGCTTAGAGCTATGTGTGAACCCTGCCTTGTTTTCATTCAGCATTCCTTCAGCACAGAGTTCCTTTTTAACTCCCCCTACTGGATTTTATACCATCCAAAACCAATCTTTTTTTTTTTTAAAAAAAACAACAAGATTCCAAACCCAGAGATATGAAGCAGCTAATTGTAGGATCTTCCCTGGGCCAAAATCTCTTTTTTTCCCCCCCTTTAGGTGGATTTGTCAGAAAAATTCTCCGTGTTACGATATCGTCCCCCAAAGTATGGCCACTCCCGATTATTTCTTTGTGATAAAAGTATCCAACAGGTATTTGTGATTTTGATGTTGAACTGGTTATTCTGTCTCCAGAGGGGTGAAATCATGGCAGAACGCACGGGGGAGCTTTTCTCTAAGGGCGGATGTGTCTGTGTGCGCATCTGTGCGTAGGTGTGTGGCATGTTGTCATTGAATTACTAGCCTGCTGCAAGAGTGAGGCTCATGATCTGGAGTCTATTGGACTAAGAGCTTCATTAATTATGTAGTACAGTGTTTCTCAACCTCAGTAAATTTAAGACAGGTGGTGTAGGAGAAGCAGTGGCAGAACCTGGGGGTGTCAGGATTCCGGCAGTTACCCCCATTTAAATCATGAGTCTTGAGCCAAACTTCCAAAACTTAAAAAAAGGATTTATTGAGAGTTAACATGCTGGCACTGCGTGGGTGTTATAAACTATTTCTGTGGTCTTTTTAGAGTTGCCAGGGGGCGGAATTAAAAGAGGAATCGGCCAGAATCCCTGCATAGCCACAAATGAACTCAGTCCAACCGCCCTTGAATTCCATTGACTCTTATTTAACTCCGAGCAGGTGCTAAATATTAGTCGAGAAGATTCCTCTACATAGGCATGATTAGCAGAGTAAAAATCCCATTTTGATGGACCTTTATGTGTGGATTCAGTCTTTCACGCCTGACAGGTGGACTTCAACTCCCAGAATTCTGGGAGCTGAGATCCAACTTCTTAAAGATTGAGAAGCGCAGATGTAGAAAACTAGGAAGGAAGAAGCTGCGATGAAATTTAATCACTGTGAGGTGAGGGAAAACTTTTTAGAAAAGGACGGGGGCAGGCTTCCAAGTTATACACCCATAGCAAACTGAACTCCGAGGCAGGTAAATTCCTCAAAGAACAGTTTCATTGGGTAGCTCTATACCCATGCTTCACTATAAAACTATGTGGTCAGGCTTAGATTTTGGGGAGGAAAATAAGGGGGGGAAACTCTGCCTCTGCCTACCACCATTCATCGGTATTCATCTGGCTAGTGTCCTGTGTGAGAGAAGGCTGTTTGGAAACTGAAACAGCATTTGCTGTGTGAGCAAGGAGGAGACAGCAAGGAGCCTAGGCATGGCTTAGCTCAACTGTTCTGTACTAAAGCTGATTGCTGCTCTGAAACTGAAACTGAAACTCCTTGTGTTTTGCATTTGGAACAGATTTCTTTTCAGGTGGGGACGGGGAGTAGAACTCCTTAGCATCAGAGCGTGTCAATAATAGTAATATATGAAATGCTCTGGTGGTCATTTTGAAAAAATCCTTTCTTAGTGAGCACCAAGTGAGCGCCAAGAGGAACATAGATGCCAAATATCAAGTTTGTAGGCTTGACGGTTCAGGAGATTTCGTGATGATGCCTGAGTGGTATTTTGCTTTTATATATATATATATATATATAGGTGACTTTCACCGAATCAAAAGTAAACATTTCCTCCCTTCTCCAAACAATCAGTCTCATGGTCCAATCAAGGCGTCGTCCGGTTGTCTGTCCTTGTCTGCTTCCATAGGGGGGTCGACCAAACCACCTACTGTGACTATGCCTTGGAGTTCATCGTGCACATCCACGGCCTGCGCCTCAGCCCCAGCCGTGCCCTGTACGTGATGCAGGTAAGACAGCTGGCCTTTGACTGGGTGCCAGGGTTCCACGTAATAAGGCCCATAGCAAGCAAAACTCCGAGGCCGGTAGATCCCTCAAGGAACAGCTTTATTGGATATATTCTATTGGCACAGATCTGGCCAAAACCGACTCTGAAGCAGAGGTGCTATTCAGCCGGTTCTAGAGAACCGGTAGCAGAAATGTTGAGTACTTTGGAGAACCGGCAAATCCCGCCTCTGACTGGCCCCGCCAAACCCCCATCTCTTCTCTGCTTCCCATTGAGTCTCAGCTGATCGGCTGGCTCTTCTTTGGTTGCCCTGCACAGGAGAAAGGAGCTGGAAAGCAGGTTAGTGGGGTGGGGAGGGAATGGGTTTTGCAGAATCCTTCCCCTGCCATTCCCCAATCAAGCCACACCCACAGAACCAGGAGTAAAAAAATTTTTTGAATCCCACCACTGCTTTGAAGGTCCCCACAGTTTTCACCTAATTAAAAGTGTTTTTTTTTTTCACTTTCTCAATCCCCGCTCCCTCTGGTTACCTGGTGACATCACTCCTCCTTCCTCCGACCAGGTGTGAGTCCTTGGTTCCCAAGAGACAGTATTTTATTGTGGCTACAAAATCCCAAATATCACAAATCCCCCCCCCTCCCCCTGTCCTATCCCTCTACTCCATTGTGGCCACTCTGAAGCTCTGAAGCGAACTCAGTGGATTATGTTCTCACAGCCCCAGAGACTCCCCGGTTCCCCTCCAGGACTGTGAGGCTAAGTGCTTAGCCTTCCAAAAAGACTGTGGTTTAGTGACAGGAGGATCTGCTATCTTACCTACTATCGGTGGTCATAAATTCAGTCCTGGCTTTTCCAGGGCAATGTTGCCCTCTACCGGTGGGGGGGGTGGGGGCATTCCCAGGCAGAGCTGGGAGGCGGAGTTAAGCTGAGCAGCAGCTTAGAATCATGAGATTGCCACCTCCAACCCATCTTGAATTCCACAGAGCCTGCTCCAATTTAGTGTTGGTCTTTAGTTGACTAGATTCTTGTGCACGGGCTCGAGCATGAAAACTCTGAACTGCAACTGAATTAATGAACGATGGGGATCCTTTGTGTCCGACATGGCATAAGCCAAGCAGGTCAACCTCCCACATTCTTAAAGACAAATGCAAAAAGATGAAGTATCATCTCAGGGTGGACGTCTGGGTGGAAATACTTCGGGGAAAATTCACTCACTCATTCATTCATCCCCACATGCATTCCCATTATGGCAGAACCGTATTCAAGGCTAGTTTGATAAACCTCAGTTCAAAGGGCAGGATATTTGGGGGGGGGGGATAGCCCGTGTTCTTCCAAATGCCATTTCTTCCTCCATTAAACTGATATGCCACCCTTCTCGCCTGAAGGCGACTCTGGGCAGCTTACGATCATCAAAAAACAAGACAAACCCTTAAAACCATGAATATCGGCGCAAAAATTGGTTTAATAGGGAGGAAGAAAGCAATCCCGGACCAAGATGTGCGCCTTGCACATGAAAAGGAGGAGGCACCTTATCTTAGTCCGGCGTTGCTCAGTCTTAGCAACTTGAAGACATGTGGACGTCAACTCCCAGAATTCCCATGCCAGCATTTCTGACTGGGGGATTCTGGGAGTTGAAGTCCACAAGTCTTCAAGTTGCCAAGTTTGAGGACCTCTGTCTTAGGCCATTAACCATCTTCAGAATGACACGCTCCTGTTGAGGCCAATTGGCAGAGGTAGGTTTTTAGGCCCTTTCAGAAGACCGAAAGGGCCTGTTCGGATCTCACCTGGGGGGTGGGGGGAGGTGTCCCCTCCAAATACTTCTCCCCACCCTAACTAAAAGGAAGGCTGAGCATTCCTGGGCCAGCAGGATAAGAAGACAATGACAACAGGGGTGGGGTCCCTGTTCAGCTGAGGAATTCACAGCCCACCCTTCTTTCTTTCTTTCCTTCTCTCAGATTTCAATGGCTGTTGTCATCGGACTGGTCATTCTGTATATCTTAGTTGACATAATGGCCCCTCGGGTTAAAGAATTCTTCAACAAGACCATGAAGAGACTGGAGGACGCTATTGCATTTCGGGCTGGTGAGTTTCTAACCCTTTGGGAGGGGCCTCTTGGACTGTTTTCTTGACATTTCATCGACACCTACAGCTTGCTGTCAGGATTCCAGCAGTTGCCCTAATTAAATCATGAGCCTCGAGCCCAGCTTCAAAAACTTCAAAGAATTTATTAGGAGAGAACCTGTCGGCATGACCTGTAATGAAGCCGATTCTCAGACACGTTAATTCACGGTCACCCTTGACCCTAGTTTCCCCCCACCCCTTTGGGGGTATCATAATTCATATGATGAAAAAGCAAAAATGGCACCTGCTTCTTGCCACATGACTCTGCTTAATCCGTTCCTGCTGAAGTCTGCAGGATCTCGCCGAGAGTGTGTCTCACCTATCTTCTGCTCTTCTACCCTGCCGTCCTAGAGTTGGGATTTAGGATATTCCGTTAACTTCAATTTGGCGCCTTTTCTGCATGAGTTATTTGGAGCGGGAATGTCTGTCTCCCGTAGTTTATAGCAATAGTCCTTAGACTTACATGCCGCTTCACAGTGGTTTACAGCCCTCTCAAAGCGGTTTACAGAGTCACCTTCTTGCTCCCAACAATCTGGGTCCTCATTTTACCGATCTTGGAAGGATGGAAGTCTGAGTCCAACCTTGAGCCGGTCAGGATCGAACTCCTGGCTGTAGGCACAGTTAGCCTGCAATACTGCATTCTAACCACTGCGCCCGCATGACTCTGTCCTGTATGATCAGACAGAATGGGCTCCTCCTGATTAAAACAATAGCATCTTTGGGGACCCAGAAAACGTGTCTTTTCTGTTGGAACACTTGCAACAGCCTAAGGCGGGACTAGAACTCACCGTTTCCTGGTGGTTGCCCCAAAGTCATCTAATCAGCTTTCTTGCCTAAAGTGGAACTAGAACTCACCATCTCCTGGTATTTGGTCCAAAATCACCCAGCCGGCTTTCATCCTTTAAATGGGACTAGAACTCACCTCTCTTTTATCCCAGGGCCTTAACAACCAGACCAGGGGTTAGTAACCTTAAACACTCAAAGAGCCATTGGAACCCATTTCCCACAGAAAAGAAAACACCGGGGGCCACAAAAACCCTTCCTGTGCCTGACTATTTCCTGAGCGGCCACAAAACTAGCCTATGTAGTTGAATTATATGTTCTGTTTTCTTCTGAAACTTTGATTTACTCATGGTTGGCCTACCAGGAGTCAAAAAGCCCAATAAATTGCTTGCTGGTGGGTGTTACACACACGGCGGTTGTGACGCATATTTTGGGCGACAGGGAGCCGCAGCAAAGGGATGACAGAGCCACATGCGGCTCCAGAGCCGCGGGTGGCTAACCTCTGAACTAGACCAAACTCATGCATAGGATTTTTACCTGTTGGGGCAATGTGATTATCATTCTTTGGATGTGCATTCTTCTTTTCTCGTTTTTTTAATCTGACTCATTTACATGTTCTAATTCTGTGCCACCTTTATGGAACCAGGTGGCTTTCTAAAATTACAAGTAACAGGTGATTTGGAGCTGGCTCCTTCCGGCGAGTTCTTAACTCCCGTGTCCTTTCCCTTTCATGTCTTTTTCTTACCAGAATCCAGCCTCACCTTCTCCTCTTCCTTCAGCAGTCAAGGATCCCTTCAACATCTGCCTTCCGATATCAGTTCCGGGGACCCCGCCGGTAGCCCTTCCACTCTTGCCCCCTCCAGAAGAGGGTACCACCAAGGGGCACAGTAGAGCTCCCACAGCTTGCCAGATTCATTGGACAGGGAGGTTCTCTGCTGCCTGGATGTGTCATCTTTGGTCTGTGGTTGCTGTCCGAGAACGAGGTTGTGCTGCGAGGCTGCAGGTATATTTTGTCCGTGAGCAAATTATTATTTGGTTGCAAGTCTTGCAAAAGGCTCCAAAAGTCATCTATGGCCAGGACCCCAGCGATCAATATCAATTGGCGCGCCCGAAATAGGCAACTATCCCAGCCTCGGAAGGCCTCCTGAAACGCAGCCGAAGTATCTTTTTCATTGAGGGTGGAGGGGGTCAATCACCAGCAGATCTTAATTTTATTTTATTTTATTGATTTGATTTGATTCGTTTGCCACCCATCTCGCTTCGAGGCGACTGCAGGCGGCTTAATTGGTTGAATTGGTTTGGGAATTTTATTACTGTTATACTACCGATTTTCCACACACACACACACCCTCTGGTTTTCTAAAAATTGTACTCCTTTAACCCTGGTTCTCTCTCTCAGCTGCTGCAGTTCTGTGTCTCGATGCTGGGAACTGTTACAGGGTTAAATTAAACAAGAAAATTAATTTTTTTTTTTAAAAAAAAGCGGGTGATAGAGAAAATAAGAATCCGTAACAGGCAGGGATGGCAAGTTTCTGATTTTCTGTTCATAGTTCCTGGCTTGGTTTTGTTTTAATAAATATTTGGGTCCAGGCAAGCTCTTTGTTGTCATCCGGATGCTTTCCTCTTCATCTGGTTATTTTGGACACTGCCGGTCATTCCAGAAGCTCACCTGCTTCAGAAAGGGCTCTGGACTAGGTACACTTCGCTTGTGGGCATTCTCTGCTGCCTTTCCAGGCCAGGAGCCTGCATGGCTGGAAAACATTTAAATCTTTTGGCTCGGTACTGGTGGAATTTCTCTGCAAACACCAGTATATCCCACTGCCCTCTTTAGAAACAGAAACTACACGGTAGTAGCAAGATATTAAACTAATCTCAGTCTCAGAAACTTTTAAGCTATATGGAATTCAAGCTCCGGAAACACCCAGCAACCTTAAAACATGCTGCCTAGGGGAATTCTGGGAGTTGAAGTCCACTTCTCTTAAAACTCTCTAGCATGGTGGCTGAGGGATTCTGGGAGTTGAAGTCCATCCTTCTTAAAGTTCCCTTTCATGCTG